AACAGGAACTAATAAAGGGGGTATAAATAGCGTGCTAAAAATATCTAACATAGACAGGACTCGCAGGAATGGCTTTAAACTGGAAAAAATCAGATTCAGGAAGGATATAGGAAAGCACTGGTTTGGTAATAGAGTTGTGGATGAGTGGAACAAACTCTCGAGTACTGTCATAGACGCTAAGACGTTGTGTAGTTTTAAAAATAGGTTGGATAAATACATGAGTGGGTGTGGGTGGGTGTGAGTTGGACCTGACTAGCTTGTGCTACTAGATCGGATGCACTGCTCCTCCCTTAAGTGACATGTCTGACCTCACTAGGTCAAGGCATTGGCTTAAGCCGGTGGGAGAATTGGAGATGCCTCGCATAGGCCAGTAGGCCTGTTGCAGTGTTCCTTCTTTCTTATGTTCTTATTTGGGCTTTTGCGCACGGCAGTGGGGAAAGAACAGATACGAACGGTCGGAACGTCCCAAGGGGAAAGTGAAAAGTTAGATGCTAGATCAGGGGTCGGCAACCTTTTGGAGAGAGAGGGGCAGACAGCTATGCAGTCTCTCGAAGGAGGGTCATGTTATTAAATGTAATATAAAAAAAAAAATTCTCGAACTCATGGGTGTCATTAGTTTTTTAAACCAATTTTGGCCTAATTCTAATAATACTTAACACAATTTATCACAAATAATTAAATAAACATTATTATGGAATGCAGATAGCTACTGTACAGTTGTTTTACCACCAGACAACAAACTCAACTGAAAAACTCTAAGGAGGGAGGATACAAAGTAACTTTTCCAGGGACTGCTTAATCTTGAAGTGAACTACTGCATCTGTATTCCATATTAATTAGATAATTAGTGTCTAGGTGTTAAGTTGGTGGGCCAGACGAAAACCTCACACGGGCCGGATGTGGCCCGCGGGCCGGGGGTTGCTAGATGAACATATAAAGAGGGCAACAGACATAAACATTTGAAAATTGGGAGAGTAACACCTGAAGCTCACCCCGATTACCTCTGAGGCCTCGAATATTCCACTGTAAATAAGTCATGATTTTTCAAAGAGAAGTATACCAGTAACATGATAACATGAAGCAGTAGGTGTCTACGGAATAGGAGGGTTATAAAGTCTACACGTCGAGGTAGCGGAAAACGAGTAAGAAGAAAAGGATTGGAACACTGTGAAGAAACGAGTTGTATAGGTTTAGAAGACAGAAGTGATGGGAGGCGGATCGGTGTCCATCAATGGTTATGTCTCCTCAGTATATTCGGAGATATCGTCAAGTACAATTTACAATAGAGATGTAGCAAAAATATTACAGTTAGTACAATTAAGAATAGAGAAGTAGAACAATTTACAACTCGTGTGAAGAAATGTAACTGATGCTGCTGACGTTAAGTATACTAGAACATTTTAGTTTTCCTTTCTTAACCTTACATTTCAAGATTATTAGTGCAAGTAAACCTAAATTATTTTTTAAGTTGGTCTACAGTATATTAGGGGCGAAGTCTGCTATGTGAACCCAATATTTTCAATAAAATTTGGATTGATGTGCCTATCAAATTGACAGTCGTTGTAAATGGTTATCGGATATAATTCAGAATAATTTACAAAAGCTTAATCATCAGCTTATGTGATAATTCTGTACGACAATATGGGTAAAAAAAAAACGATAATTTGGCGAGTACTGTACGATAATTCTGTTAAAAAAAATCTGGCAGGAGGAGGAGGCTGGTGTTCCAGGAACTCAGGCTATCCTCTCAATACAACTACACTGTTGCTGTAACAGTCAAATGGGTTACTGTCTAACAAATCTCAAACAGTGAAAATCTTCTGAATCACCACATGAATAAGACCCGTGCCGGGGTCCACCAGGAAAACCTACCTGTACAGCAAATATCTGACTTAGATATTTATACTACGCTCAGAGGCTACCTATGTTTTGTTCACGCCTCAGAACTTCTTATCGTCTGTATCTTATATTTCACTGTATAGCGCTGTGGTGTGTTATGACTGGTTAATGTTTACTGATAAATAGCATAGCCTAAATAAACTTAACTTGAATAACGTTAAGTCGAGATATTTGCCCGAAATGCACAGCATGCTAGAGGTTTTCTTTTGTGCTTAATATTTTATTGCATATAAACTACGTTTTGTAAACTGCAGAAAGAAATGTGCTGGGAGACTTGTCACACATCATGAAATGACGTCTTGTAAAACGAGCTTGTAGCGAGACGTAGCGAGACAATAGATCGAAACGTTGCCCCAACAAAAGGTTCTGCAAAATGTGTCATTTCTATACCTTCCGAGATGGAAACTTGATGATGAAGAGCTCGTGATCCAAGGAGTCAGAGCCGCCCTTCCCTTCGTATCAAACCTGATTGCCTCTCATTTCCCTGTGGGTTTACCGCTTCCGTATGAATACCACAACGACCTGTTTCACGCGTTGCGTTTTCCCAGAAAGGAATCCCCGTATCCAACAATCCTAACTCCCTCTACCCCAGTGCCCGTCAAAGGAATAGTGCAGTGTGGCCCAAGTTTCTCATCGGCTAAATATCAGCACTAAAGATCGGACACATCAGAAGGGGCATTTGCGAGTTATCACATAGAGATTAATATCCCAATTTCAATAAAAATGACAAATTGGCACCTACAAAGCCCAAAAATCAATCCATAACTTTGTCTATGTAAGACGACAAGCGATTGAGGTTTGAAGCTGATCAGAAGAGTCATTCTTCAGTTACTGCATGGGAACAAGCATTTTAATAAGACTTGTACATGTATTCTCCCGCTCCCTCGCCCCACACATGTATCATCCCTCTCCCTCGCCCACGCATGTATGCTCCCACTCCCACACAAGTATCCTCCCTGTCCTCACAGCCACACATGTATCTTCCCTGTCCTCACAGTTACACGTGTCCTTACTCACCCATACCTACATATGATCTTCCCCTCACCCACATATATATCTTTCCTCTTCACCCACACATGGAACCTACCTTTCCCTCAACAAATGTATCCATCTTCCCCACCTACACAAGTGTCCTCCATCTTCACAAACATATACCAATTTCCTCCCTGCCCCACAAACAAAAATTTTATGCACAATTCACTATTAAAAACAACAGCAGCAGCGAACATTATTATTGTAAAACTGAAAAAAATGGATGCTATAAAATAATTGTTCTTTAATAGCCAATTACACGGAGTCACTAAGACACATGCACATGCTTTGTTGTCGTGTACAGTGTACATACATATTGTTCATTATTGTGCATCTTGCACGCAAGGCGCCCACACCTGCATACCTATCACTAATTTCGAGTCAACACTTTTGTTTATGCATGCCTGCTCTGATGCAAATTACCCACGCTGGCTTCACCCTGGTAGATTTTTCTTGCTTCTTAAGTATTGCAACTCAATATTAGGGGAAGCTTTCATGTCGCTGGTTATTTACATTGCGTGTTTACGTTTATCGAGCTTGATGTACACGTGGCTTTTGTAGTTGATTAAATATTATATTCTGTGTAGTGTGCTCTGCAGCATATTGTGTAGTATACTCTATTAATCTGTGTAGTATACTTTGCATTTTTTCCCAATTAAGATTTCCTACTGGTTTGTATTACTGCATTTATGAGAGAAGTGGTAAACTGGTAGTGGTAACGAAACTGCTGGGGTAATGGGAGACAGTGAGGTTCATCCAAGGAAGGGGAGGTCAGGTTCAATTATATGGATCATGAGCACCTCACCGGCATAAAAAGAGCCTCAATAGAAGTGGACGAGGGGTGGACGAGAGGTTCCTTGATACCGCTGAGGTGCTCATGATCCAAGGAACTGACCCTGACCTTCCCTTTCCTTGGCTCGAACCTTATCAAGGTCACAAGTGGGATACAAGTGAATAAGACTGCTAACTAGTGAGAAGAAATGGAAAATTACCACCAACCCAAATAAGGAACAAATTAGCAAAAGCGGTTGTTGCTCAACGATGACTGAAAACAAGAGGAGGAATTACGACTAGACGTACTCCTATCGCTATCAAAAGTACCAACAAGATCTTGGGTTACGAAACTGACAGACTGATGAACTCTACCAATCACGTCAGTGACAGTAAATTCAGCATAGGTCCATCCCCACCAAATCCACAGAAGCTTCTCCAAAAGAATGATGATTCGTCCACTGTTCCAATATCCATTTGTACCCCTTGTCACTGACAAAATAAACAATGCTGAAAATAAAGTCCAGAGCAAAGCACTTCGCTTTGTCTGAAATACGCGCTTGAATGACAGTCAAATTATATAAATAGCATCAATGTCAGGCTTATCAAGATCAAGAAGCGCCAGCTGTGCAGCGTGAACGAACCTTTCTTACCCGATAGAGAAAACCCACCCCATCAGATCAAAACCGCACTATGATTCTTGAACCTCCACACAGAAGACACAGGTCGACCTCGCAACAAGAAAGGAGATGCCACACCTACCCACAATCTCTCTCTCTCTCTCTCTCTCTCTCTCTTCTCTCTCTCTCTCTCTCACACAAAAGATGAGTTTCCAAAGCCAATCATACTGAGTGATTTACCAGAAGAAGGAGTGGATAACACTTCATCCGGTCTACATGCAAAGTCGATGACTCCATCACTGTCCTGATACTTCCGAACACTTGAGCATTACGAAGATTAAAATAGACAGAACACTGAGCCTAGCAAGTAACAAGCAGGACAATGAGCCTAGCAGGACAATTAGCCTAGCAGTACCAGGCAGCAGGACAATGAGCTTAGCAGTACCAAGCAGCAGGACAATGAGCACAGCAGTACTAAGCAGTAGGACACTGAACCTAACAGTGATTGGCAGCAAGACAAAGAGCCTAGCAAGGGCCACCTGCGCGCCTCTGAAGCCACTACCTTCCCCCACAAGGAAAATAACTTAATAAAACGTACATACAATCAAGCCGCCCATGCCTACCGCACGCAAGTATGCATACACCCTTTCCTATATACACGTTTACGTGAGCTGGACGATGCCGTATGCCACCTATGCACATTTGGTAATGTTAAATGTACACCGCACATTCATTATCGCGTAAAAAATGGATGGGCCACCTATCTTTTCATCTCTCCTCCTGCTCTCTACCCAAACCAATTCGACCCGTTTCCATCCTTCTTCCTTATCCCTACTTACCAGGGCTATGGTCAGAGCGATTTCTATTTTGAGATAGCCTCATGCAGTCCCAGATACTTGCCGCTGATGCAGGCTTGTTACCTAGCCTCCAAAGTTGTGATACGAACCAAGGCTTTTGCAGACTTTCACATCCTTTCCAGTGTAAGGAAAAAATATAGTTTACCTCTACCATATACAGATATAACTCTGGAGTTTACTGGATACGCTTATCTATACTTATTGCACAAGATTACTAATGATAGTTCACGTGGAGTGACGTCCAGTATGGCTGTTAAGTGAAAATTATTAGGCATGGAATGGAAGGTAATTAGATTTCGATCCACTGTGAAACTAGATCTAATTTATTTTCAATCAAGTAGCTTGGTGGAGGAAAAGCTTATCCTAAAACATTTAAGTGGGCAGTTCAAGAGGAAAAAATCTCACAATCATGGATAAGGAAGGAGGAGGAAGTAACTGCAGTCACTTGCCGCAATCACTGGTCCCAGGCACTCGTCACAGTCACTGGTCCCAGGCACCCGTCACAGTCTCTGGTCCCAAGCACCCTTCACAATCTCAGGTCCCAGGCACCCGTCACTGGCACTAAGTTATGAGGTGAGTTGTATTTCTGTGATGGTCACACACTCGTCCCATACACCCTGACCAGGTACTCGAGAAATTGCTGGTAACGCCTTGGAACTGACAAGTACTGCATCAGGAACCCTTCACCAGCATGACAGCGTCCCCTTCCCTTGATGACGGGCACCGTTGTTGGTAATCTTATTTCCTCATGTCTACTATTTAACATCTACTGAATTAAACTTCAATCTTTTGAAGTTAAAACTACCTGAAGCACCAGCCGATTTATTATACAACTGAGTGGTAAGGTCTTTAGCTCACATCCGTAGGACCCGGCTTCGATCTCGGGACGGGTGGAGACAGCGGGCATGTGTCTTTACATATACTGCGCTTGTTAACCTAGAGACAAATGGTACCCGGGTCTGCGGCAGCTGTTGTAGGTCGCATCCTGGGATGAGGACCAATGGACCCCAAAAGAAATAAACCATAATGATTGGTTTTCTTGGGTTATCCTGGGTTACTATCTATTCAGGTTAATACGAGTCTTCTACTATAGCTCTATTTGCTTTTGTGGTGGAGTCTTTGTATGGTTGTATAAAGTGGTTACGTAAGTATGATGGTGGTAGTATAGAGGTGATGGTGGTGGGGTAGAGGAGGTAGCATAGTAGCTGTGGTGGTGCTCCAACTATAGACAAGATATACGCCAGGACGATCATCTAAGCAGTGTGTTAGTTTACTGTTATTATATTCCGCAAGAGTGATAATGCCTCACGTGTCACTGCAGGAATCAGTGGACGATGGTAGCGAGTGTGTTGCTGCTGTTGTGGATGCTATCTCTCACACTCAGACAACAGCAAATATCACCAGGTTAGTCATCCTACGGAACATACTGTAGTATTAAACACCGTTTCCCTGGAGATAATATTTTTTCTTGTTCTTTAAGCCATTTTAACTCATAGTATGTGACGTTCTTTGTATATTCATTCCCCATGCGCTATATGACCCCTAGGGGTCATATAGCGCTTAGGGAATGAGAGGCAATCAGGTTCCATTCGAGGAAGGCAAAGATCAGTTCAGTTCCTTCGATCAAGAACGCCTCACCGGCATCATGAACCTTCAAGGTTCCTTAAGGCTGTCCGTCATTACCTATACTCTGTCCTTGATGCCGTCTCTTATTACCTATCCCTTGTAAGGTTGTTATTCTTTCCTCAAGGTTTCCGAGTAAAAACTTCAAAACCCCTGATGTGTCATCCCATGAATGACATGTCATCCTATAAATGACACGTCATCCCATATATGACACGTCATCCCATAATTGTAGAGTGATAACGCAGGGTGGTGGGAGAGAAGCCAGAAGCTGAGGCAGCGGGTAAGGCATACATGTACTTCCTTCAACGTGTCTTCGGAGGTCACTCAGCGTCAGAGGAAATCTACGTGCACCCCAAGGCGTCCTCTACTGCAGGTCCCAAGGTGCGCCCCCACCACCTTCTGAGTGTCCACAAAGTATGTCTCTATCACCTTGTGTGCGTCCACACGGTGCGTCCCCACCACCTTGTGTGTCCACAAAATGCGTCCCCACCACCTTGTGAGTGTCCACATGGTGCCCCCCCCCTAACCTTTTGAGTATCGATAAAGTACATTTATAGCCCACGAATTATATCGATTTGAGGTCGGATTAAGATTTTTTGGGCCCCCCGGGGCCCGGGGGCTCCCATCCCCCTGGGGAGGGGGAGCGGGAAGCCCCGGACCATTTTTACTAAATGGTAACTATAACAAATGGCTTTATTATGTACGGTGTCAACTATCTTTGCGTTTATTTTCCCAGTAGAGAGTGTGAAACTATTGGAAAGGCAATAATAAAGCAACTTTAAAAGAATTTAAACCCAAAAAAGCTTCATATTTTGTGTCAAAATTGCTCAAAAGCTTTTGGTATTGGGCCCCACCTCCCTCCTTCCTTTTAAACGGCCCTTCCAGGGATTTGGGAGTGGAGGTTTAGGGTTACAGTTTGTAAGCAAAGTGTGGGTTTACTTTATGTTGTGTTTACCAACAATGTCTCGTTTGTAGGTGGCAAGCGACCGGAAACGTGTTGGCTGAAAATGACCTCCAACTGCTGCAGTTTCCAAAAACCCCACCAGGTGAGGAAATGAGGTACCACCCCAGGTGAGGGGAAGGGGGACCCCACCCGGTGAGGGAGGAGGGGACCACCACCAGGTGAGGAGTGGGTACCACCCCCAGGGAGGGATGGGTACCACCACCAGGGAGGGAGTGGGGGGACCCTACCATAGTATTAGGAAGGTTAACTCCACATTTGGGAAAAGGGGAATTTTATTTTAAAAATATCAATGTAATGAAAAAAGACCGTATAACGTTATGCTCTAAATTCATTTTTTCCCAGATAAAGGATACTCCCAACCGATTGGAAAATTCATTGTATTTAAATCTTTGGGTTAACAGTGCCCGGGTTTTCCCTTTTCTTTAAATCAAAATCGATACATCAGTGTTTGCAACCAATTCCATGTAACATTTTTTAACAAGAGAAACTGGGTTTTCTATTTCAAAACGGGGGTTTTAAAGAAAATAAAGTCAAACCCGAACTGGGGAAAACTTCAGTAGGCCATAAGAAATTTTCTAGCATTCTGTAAAATTTCGACAGCAACGGAGCACTAAAATTTTCCCCCAGCACAGCGAAGGGACTAATGCTGGGAAATTTGCACTCTGGGATGCCCCTCCCCACCCGCAAATTAGAATAATAAAAGGGATTTTCACAGACGAGGGAGAAAAATTTAAAAATTTCATACCATATAAAAACAAAAGTTCAGATTCACTGTTGGAAAAACTTGGCGAAAACCAGCCCGTACGCCACCAACACACTTTGCTATTGCTAAACAATAACAACTAAATTGAAGTAGTCAAGAGATAGAAACTCGAGGCTCCTAACCGGATCATTCCATACGATGTGAAAATTACATTCAACAGGTGGCTCTGTCTTCACGCTGCCACATAACGACAACGCTTTCTACACGATTTTCTCGCACTAATAGCTAGACGAGTACTATATACATTACCACTACTGTGCTCCTAATGCTAATGTTAATAGTGATATACTATATTACCCGTTGCCATAGTCGGGTCAAGACAGTTTCTGCTTCCTTACACAAATAACTCGCACACAAGGGAAAGAAACACATGATAACGTCATAAATTTCTCTTTATGTGCGAGTTATTTGTATATTGCTCTAGCCATGGTATTGTGCCTTTTTATTTATGCTTCGTTGTTAAAGGTCAAAGGTACGAGCCTTTTGCGTTACACTAGCACTAATATACACTTGCTATTAGTACCGCTGCTGATTCAACTAATTCAATACTAATACTAATACAAGTGACACTATAAGCACTACTACTGCAACTAGTATTATTATTACTTCTCTTAGTGCTACTACTTCTACTGCTGCTATTTCATTTTTGACTAGTACTAATATCACTGCCACTTATACTATTTGACATTCTATATACAACTTTTCCTTCTTGCTCGTCCTCCTCTTTTTCAGAAAATACCACTTACACTATTTGTTTTCCATATTTACCACTAAGGTACAACAGAGCGCTAAAATCAGTTATATAGAAAACACATTTAAAGCGGCGACTCACCTAGTTGTGTTTTTAAAGGGTGGAGTCATAGCTCTTGTCCCCGATTAATATATCTAATTTTTTACACATATATATCTTGTTCAGTTATGTGCAGGATACATAAATATATGCAGCCTTGATGATACTCGTGTAGTCGAAAGGCTGTAAACCTAATAAACCAACTAAGCGCGTGGGAAGCCATTAAACAAAAGTACTGAAGGCTCGATCCTCCTTCCTCTTAACCCAAGACACTAGCTGGACACTTAGTAATGGTACGAACACTCTCAGGCACACTATTCACCTGCTGACGCAGCCGTCGATGCTGGTGCAGCCGAGGTTCGAGGACGTGTGGCAGGATATGTTAGCATCATACAGGAAGTTTCTCTTCGTCAGGCACCCGCTGCGCAGGGTAGTGTCAGCCTACAGAGACAAGCTCTATGCTCCCAGTGACATGGAAGACATGGACATCTCTGCCCACATCAAGAAAACTTTAACGCAAAAATTCGGGTAAAAAGGCTTGTCAATTATTTTTGTTTCAACCATTATATTTCTTCTGTTTAGAGGTAAATAATTTTATTAATATTTTGTATAATAAAATCAGTTTCGTAGAAACTACAGATTAATAAAATGTGTATATACTATATTTGGAAGCTCTTATAGCAAAAAGCTGTAATACAAGCACTTTCAACATTTGTCTCCAGTTATTAGTTGCAGGGGAATTACTATTATTATATTCATGAGAAGCTCTAAAACCGTAGGGTCATATAGCAGTCTGGGAAATAGGAAATCAGGTGTGATCCATGGAAGGACAGGAGACTTTCAGTTCCTTAGATCAAAAGCCCTTCACCAACACCAAAACATCTCCTTGAAGAGGGAAATTGATACATTTACATTAAATATTGTGCATGGCGGTCCTAAAGATTATGAAGGATGCTGCTGTCTTCGTAGAGTGGCAGAGTAGTGGCACTCAATACCTTGCTAGGTCTGTCTCGCGATTAAGGAACGCTACGATCGAGCTTCCACCACTACTGTGCTGAATAACCAACACGGGTTAAGTATTACACAAACAATAAACATGGTGATGTTCATCATCTCTGCAGGACGTCGTCAACACACACCAAGGATGATGTAGTGAGTTTTGCAGACTATATCAGACTCATCACTCACCAGGAGGACGATGAAGACATATCCTGGGACGGCCACTGGCGTCCTATCCACCAGGTGTGTCCACCTAGATGTATACCATATATATATATATATATATATATATATATATATATATATATATATATAATTTTATTATATAATATATATATATATATATATATGTGTGTGTGTGTGTGTGTGTGTGTGTGTGTGTGTGTGTGTGTGTGTGTGTGTGTGTGTGTGTGTGTGTGTGTGTGTGTACTCACCTAGTTGCACTCACCTAGTTGAGGTTGCGGGGTCGAGTCCGAGCTCCTGGCCCCGCCTCTTCACTGATCGCTACTAGGTCACTCTCCTGAGCCGTGAGCTTTTCATACCTCTGCTTAAAGCTATGTATGGATCCTGCCTCCACTACATCGCTTCCCAAACTATTCCACTTACTGACTACTCTGTGGTGAAGAATACTTCCTAACATCCTGTGATTCATCTGTGTCTTCAGCTTCCAACTGTGTCCCTTGTTACTGTGTCCAATCTCTGGAACATCCTGTCTTTGTCCACCTTGTCAATTCCTTCAGTATTTTGTTATGTCGTTATCATGTCCCCCTATCTCTCCTGTCCTCCAGTGTCGTCAGGTTGATTTCCCTTAACCTCTCCTCGTAGGACATACCTCTTAGCTCTGGACTGTCTTGTTGCGAACCTTTGCACTTTCTCTAGTTTCTTCACGTGCTTGGCTAGGTGTGGGTTCCAAACTGGTGCCGCATACTCCAATATGGCCTAACGTACACGGTGTACAGGGTCCTGAACGATTCCTTATTAAGATGTCGGAATGCTGTTCTGAGGTTTGCTAGGCGCCCATATGCTGCAGCAGTTATTTGGTTGATGTGCTGGTGTTATACTCACCCAAGATCTTTTTCCTTGAGTGAGGTTTGTAGTCTCTGATCCCTAGACTGTACTCCGTCTGCGGCCTTCTTTGCCCTTCCCCGATCTTCATGACTTTGCACTTGGTGGATTGAACTCCAGGAGCCAATTGCTGGACCAGGTCTGCAGCCTGTCCAGATCCCTTTGTAGTTCTGCTGGTCTTCGATCGAGTGAATTCTTCTCATCAACTCACGTCATCTGCAAACAGGGACACCTCAGAGTCTATTCCTTCCGTCATGTCGTTCACAAATACCAGAAACAGCACTGGTCCTAGGACTGACCCCTGCGGGACCCCGCTGGTCACAGGTGCCCACTCTGACACCTCGCCACGTACCATGACTCGCTGCTGTCTTCCTGACAAGTATTCCCTGATCCATTGTAGTGCCTTCCCTGTTATCCCTGCTTGGTCCTCCAGTTTTTGCACCAATCTCTTGTGTGGAACTGTGTCAAACGCCTTCTTGCGTGTGTGTGTGTGTGTGTGTGTGTGTGTGTGTGTTTGTGTGTGTGTGTGTGTGTGTGTTTAACACTTCCCAAACGAGTGAAATTACTTGCAAACATTATCTCTCAACCCAGAACAGGATTCGAACCTTCGCACTCTGCACCAACGTACACAATACACAGTATGTACTTTGGTGCAGAGTGCGCAGGTTCGAACCCTGTTCTGGACTGAGAGAATATAATATATATATATATATATATATATATAATATATATGATATTATATATATATATATATATATATATATATATATATACAAAACAACGCAGACGGGCGATCTTAATTATACAGGACAAACCACGGATGGAGGGTGGAAATCTTTAGCTCAAGTACTTTCACACTTCTCAGTGCGTCATCAGGAGGGAGCAACCAAAGCAGGGGGAGAGAGGTCTCAGAGTAGCGTAGGTATCACCGGCCACGGTTACCCTTAGACTGGGTTAGTGGTCGGTGCCAGCCCCACCCTACCGTCATCCCCCTTCCCTCCATATGGAGTAGGAGGGTTTCTGAGATGTCGAGTATGAAATTATAAGATATAAAAAGGCAGCCCTAAGCATTTTCTAATCGTTTGTAACAGGTCATGTGGTTTGAGAAAATAAGTTTCTCGTTAGACACTGTAGACATGAATTGCTATTATTCTGTGTGACCTTTTCAAATAATGAAAGAAAGGAATACAATGTGCTCTTTGTCCGTTTAAATGTCCTGTTCTGAGGTACTCGAATGTTCTACCCATGTACTTAGAAGTATCTCTTCCTAAATACTGTCTACTATTTTTTGTGTCGGTTAATATGCCATACATGGGGATCTTATATGCCTATCCAATAGTAATATTTATATGATCTAAATTCTCCTAATACCCTTTAACCTCTTCTTACGTTATCTCGTTATCTTGCGTGCTTGTCACTGTATGGTACATTAACAGCTACAGGCGTTATGTAACCATCACAACTGACGAGGTTTGAAGTTTTGGTGCGTAGGCACTGGTCGGGCATCACTAATCCATCAACCCACCTGGCATAATGAACAATCCTGTGATTTTGTATAGCACTGTTGTTTAAGATTGTGTGCAATGGACTCTACTAAATAGTTATCGAGCTTGTATAACCCATAATTTGAGCTGTATACTGTATTCCTTTCATGTTTCAAGAGGGAAGATTCAATTATGTTTCTTTCCATGACATAAATGTTAGGTACTATAATCTGGGCAGCATCCCACCCCTTTGGGTGATTACATGCACTAACGTGGTTAAAAATAGCATTCGACTCCTGCCCTGTCCTGACTGAGTATTTATGCTGGGCAATGCTGGTTTCCAGAAATTTACCTGTTTGACCGATATATGAGAGAGGACACTGAGTACATGGGACCTTGTAAACCCCACCGACTTTGTTGGAGGGTGTGTTTTTAATCAGCCTTTGTTTCACTGTCCCCGTGTTTTTGAAAGCAAGGTTTATATTGATCTTTTTGAATGCCTCACGCAGGCAAGCCAGATTCATATATATTTTATATATATATATATATATTTTATAGTATATATATATATATATATATATATATATATATATATTATATATATATAAAAATATATTATATATATAAACAATCGGCCGTCTCACACCTAAGTAGGCTGACTTGAAAAAGAAAATACTTTCATTGTCACTTATTCAATCTTTGTCAGTAGGGCGCCGACATCACAGCTCAGATGACCTTTCAAACCGTAACATCCCCACCCCTCCCACCTTCAGAGCAGACACTATACTTTCGACCTCCAGGATTCTAAAGTCCGGCTAACTGATTTCCCTCTTCATAAATGTTACCCTTCTCACATTCCAACAGCACGTCAAATCATAAAAACCAATTGCCTCCACTGAACCCTATCTAACACACTCACAGAAGCACCTGCGGAACGGGAGGTAGTCAGGTTCTATCCAAGGGGAAAAATATCTCCAATTCTTTGGATCAAGAGCCCTTCACGGGTAAATAGGCACCCGTCCACTGAAGAAAGTCGATGTATAATCAAGCAATCTATGTATTATACTCGTGTATCACTCTCAAATATTCTCCCTCAGATGTGTAATCCTTGTGGCATCGATTACGACTTCATTGGCAAATTTGAAAATCTCCATGAAGACATGAACCACGTCCTACAATGGCTGGGTGTTGACAAGATTGTTAGGGAGTTACCCGTACCCATGAAGAACACTGGAGCGGACCACCTGGCTTCATTTTATCTGAAGAACCTCTCCTCCTCCCTCAGGAAGTCTTTCCTCGCTCATTACTTCCTCGACTACCTCAGTTTTGAGTACGAGTTTATCTAAGACCACTTCAACCATGAAGAAAAATATATTCTCATCCCTCTGTTAGTCTCCCAGCTCAGGTTAACAGATCTCAGTACTTATAAACCAATCTGTGATAGAATGTGACAATGAAACAGCTAGCCTTTGTTCCCACGTGTAACTATCATATGGAATGTGACAGCAACACAGAGTGTACTAAACTATAATTAATTAACACTAACGATCAATGCACTGAGGTGCCAGTCTGAATAAAAGTTGAACTCGTTAGTATTACATACATTATTAGTTCTTATTCATGTTTGTCACCAGAGGAAAGTATATTGTGCAACCCTTATCCCTTGTGAGAGCAAAGTAGCTAGTTTATTGTGCATCCCGTATCGATTATGTGGACCGTAGTAGCTAGTTTTTTGTACACTCCATATCCATCCTGTAGATGGTAGTGGTATTTTTTTGGGTTTTCCCCCCTCATAGCCTTGGGGGTTGCGTAGTCCCACTAGAAAAAAGGACACCCCACCTATGCCCCAGGAAAAACTCAGAAGAAAATTTTAACATTATTATTTTAAAAAGTAATTTTTTTTACAAGCGAATCCTAAAAATCACTGTTTACTCTCCGAAAGTTATCCGAAGGGATTTTGAGTTATTTTGTGTACACGCCTGTACCCCTTTTGTCTTTTTATTTAGTTCATGGGCCACTGCGGAAGGGCGTATGGGCCCCTACCGTTTGAGGTGGTGTGGTTTTAGCTATTTATTTTTTCTGGTGTACTCCTCAGAGGTTATCCGATTTGGGGGTCGGTGTGGGTGGCTGTTGAGTCAACATTGCCAAGTCCTTCAGATTTTTAATTTTCTGGCCAATATCCTTTATGTTTTTTTTTAATAGCCATATCTCGTTCTGAAAGAGACGACAGGGAAAAAATGTAAAATTAAATTAAAAAATACAAAGATGTACTGGAACATTATACTACAAACGAAAACTAGAGCAGAATATAAGCTGGAAAAAGACAAAACCACAAGTTGTGTGTGTGTGCTCACCAAGTTGTACTCAGACTTCTGACCTCTTGGGCCTTATAACTACTCTTGAAGCTGTGTACTAAGCCTCGTTGCACCACTGCCTCATCCAAGTCATTCCGCTCTTCAACCACCCTGAGACTTAAGGAAATGCTTCCTCACATCCTTATGGCTCATCTGTGTTTTCAGTTTCCACCTGTCTCCCCTTGATGATCCCGGTCCTCATAATTCAGTCTGTCCCAATCTGCCCTATCAAGTCCTCTTAAGATTTTGTATGTAATAATCATGTTTAGCCTTGTTCTTCTCTCCTCTAAGGTCATGTTCAGTTCTTTTAGCCTTTCCTCACAGTGTGTTCCTCTTAGATCTGGTGTTACCTACCTCTTCGAGTTTCTTCTCGTGCTTGACCAATTGTGGGCTCTATGTTAGGGCCGCATAATCAATGGTTGACCTAACACATGTCCTTTATAAGGTTTTGAAGGATTCTTTATTCGAATTCCTGAATGCTTTTGAGATGTTTACTAATCATGCATTTGCCGCCGCCATTATCTCTCTCTCCCCATCTCTCAACTCTCACACGCTCTCTCTTCTTACCTTTACCAAATTTTCAGCTATTCTCTTTTTCCACACAATCTTCCAGTGTTCATTTTGTTCCTGTACGGAGGAGAGAAAACATGTGTCAAAGTTCATCACATATGAACAGGTAATGGAGCTCAAGGTTAACTGGTGACTCTCTGGATAGTGACTGCAGTGGTGAGTTGTGTAATTGTAGTGATGAGTTGTGTGACTGTAGTGGTGAGTTGTGTGACTGCAGTGGTGAGTCGTGTGACTGTAGTGGTGAGTTGTGTGACTGTAGTGGTGAGTTGTGTGACTGTAGTGGTGAGTTGTGTAATTGTAGTGGTGAGTCGTGTGACTGTAGTGGTGAGTTGTATGACTGTAGTGGTGAGTTGTGTGACTAGTGGTGAGTTGTGTGACTAATGGTGAGTCGTGTGACTATAGTGGTGAGTTGTGACTGTAGTGGTGAGTCGTGTGACTATATCGGTGAGTTGTGTGACCATAGTGGTGAGTTGTGCGACTGTAGTGGTGAGTCGTGTGACTGTAGTGGTGAGTTGTGTGACTAGTGGTGAGTCGTGTGACTGTAGTGGTGAGTTGCGTGCGACTAGTAGTGAGTTATGTGACTACAGTCGTGCGTAGTGTTATTATTATCATTATGAAATTATGCTTATCATCATTAAAAATACAAGCAGTATTTTATGGGCCATACACCACTGCATACTGGCATCAAAATTTCATTCATTTACGTCACAGCCTAGTGCTTTATAAGGGAGTGATGCTGAAGGTGTTTTCATCTCGTGGGTCACTCTGTTAGAAAATAATCCATCTATATTAGGAAATAATTCGTGTACTAAAAACATCTGGAGCCGATTATTATTATTATTATTATTATTGCATTCATGGTGAAGCACTAATCCCGTAAGGGTTATACGGCGCCATGGAAAAATGGAAGGCGATTAGGTTAGATTTGAGGAAGGTGAGTGCAACATACTGCATCATATTATGGGCCCTACACCAGCGTCATGGCACTCCCTATCCCCTGAAGAAAGCTGACTGGATATGAGAGATAAGATTTTGTTCGTATTTTTAATCCGGAGAGTTGGCCACCCAGCCAGGGTTAACCAGTGCGTCATCGACCTAGTATAGACGATTCATTACCTTTGTAACTTGTGACTTCATTACTTTTGTACCTTGTTCAGCTATCAAAACTCTGGGGCCCAGCCCCTGGACCCCTTATGTACCTCTGTAATCCTTTGACTACCGTCCGCAGGATGGGTATGGGGTGCATAATAAAGATATAGAACTAAAATCATCGAGGACTGTCTTATTTCCACTGTGGTCCTTTAATGTTGTCCCCCAGGATGCGACCCACACCAATCGACTAACACTCAGGTACCTACTTACTACTAGGCGAACAGAGACAACAGGTGTAAGGAAACATGCCCAACGTTTCCACCCATGCCGGGAAGTGAACCTCGGACACTCAGTGTGTGAGCACAGTGAGCTCACCAAACACAGTGGGAGCGCTAAACCCGTAGGAATCATAGTGCCTGGGATGAATGAGACGCAATGAGAAGTGATCCAAGGAAAGAGAGGAGAGGAATGTGAGTGATAATGAAATACATACCTTCTCCAAGGCGGCCTGTGTGTGTCTGCGGCGGCTGAGAAGAATTCCTCTCGTCTCTATGCATGGCGTCAACTCAAGCTCTCTGCAACACATCACATCTCACTGCTTGTAGGCAACACTCATGCAACTGAATAATATCAATATCAACAATATTCACATGACTTCACAGCACTGTGAATAAAAAAAAAAATTAGATAAACGAACTGCCTTGTGGGATCAGATATTTTTACCACTTCTGTTAGCATTTTTTCCTCTCAAATAGAAACTCTCGTCCATTTTAATACTTTATCTTCTGTAACTCCTACGTCCTCAAGTTTCTGAATTAGTCTGGCGTGGGTCATGTTCACTGAAAATTCGCAACATTGTAAATATTACTCATTATGTAAACACTGCATCGTCTGGGGTCGGGGTTCGTCTCCTAATATACAGACTTGTAAAAAGACATTATGTGCCAAGCTAACTTTTATTTACAGACTATGTTTCGCCCTAAACTGGGCTTTACAAGTAATAAAACTCGTCTTGGCGTCAGTCTGTAAATAAAGGTTCACTCTGCACACTTGGTTATTTTTACCATATTTGACGTTAAGTTTGCCGTCCAACAATATTCACCTGGCATTCGAACTTACATGATTCATTATTTACATAATTCATTATATTCGTTACGTTATAAAATCTCACTAGGGGACACATACACAATTGTGTAATGCCGTAACCTGACAAATAGTTATTTTAAAGACTCAGCAAGAAAAATATTTCATGCGACGTTGCCCCAACAGTACTAAATAAAGTCCACAGTAAAGGAAGATTGAGACACTTATGCAACATATGGGAATCTTTATTGAGGAAACGTTTCGCCACACAGTGGCTTCATCAGTCCAATACAAAGTAGAAAGGTGTAAGGAGAGGAGGAGTTTGAGGTAATCAGTCCCTCAGCCTGGAGTCGATGTGTTCAGTCCATCAATCTTGTAGTCCATAATTCTACAAGGACTGATGGACTGAACAATCGACTCCAGGCGCGGGGACTGATTACCAATCTCCTCTCCTTACACCTTTTACGTTGTATTATATTGTATGGATGATGAAGCCACTGTGTGGCGAAATGTTTCCCTAATAAAGATTACCCATATATTGCATAAGTGTCTCAATCTTCAATTGTCGGTTGTTTATTTAAAACTCCTTTATCAATAGTAAAAGGAATTTCCCTCTAAGGTTGTCTTGGATTTAATCAATACTCACATGATGTGTATTTTCTTGAGTGGTTATGTCATCCAGAGGTGAGGCTGGTTATAACGAAGGACGTATAGTTTTGCAGCGCTTGGACCCCACCACCAGGGCTTGTCGATTACCAAAACTTGCCAGCTTCACGTACATTATGGTACCTCCTGCCAGGATATACTAATCTGAGTGCAAATATTCTCGCATCAGGTGATAGTCGAGCAAACTTAAAAGTTTCCTGGTACTGTTCAACCACATTATTATTATTATAATCAAAAAGAAGCGCTAAGCCACAAGGGCTATACAGCGCTGCAGGGCAGGAAGGAAGCGAGAGCATCAGGTGGCAAAAGGGAGATGGATGAGTAATAGGTTACGGATAACAGTGGGGCAGTGGATGGTGAAAGGGTAAAGGGCAGCAAGAGACTGAGCTAGAAAGAGCTGAGGGGAGTGCGAAAGGTATCATCATCAGAGTTTGTGGAGTAAATCAGTCGTTGTCAAGAAGTCAATGAGAGAGTCAGGATTAAAGGAGAGTCCATCAGCAAGAAGGGAAGGTAAAGAGAGAGTAGTAGAACGAAGACGACGTTGGAGGTAAATTCTGCTTGCTCGTTGATAGAGAGGGCAGTCTAACAGAATGTGGCTAATCGATACTGGAACTTGACACTGCTCACAGAGAGGAACAGGGTGCCTCTCCATGAGATACCCATGAATAAGAGGAGTGTGGCCAATGTGAAGGCGGGAGAGAGTGGTCTCCCAACCTCAATTCAATTCAAATTCAAAGTTTATTCTCTAAAAGGATTACAATGCTGAGTTTACAGAATTTGGTTATTGTGTGGTTTACCTGTTGTAAAATAATGATTACAGAGTGTACCACTAGAACACCTAGCATGTCTAGGCATTTCGGGCAGACTTAGTTTAAATCTTAATTTTAAAATATTACAAATTATGAGGTAAGTTGGTCCTCGGCACTGATAACAAGAAGAAGGCCAGTAATCTATGCTCAGTTTAATAGAATAAAGTTTGTTACCAAGCAGAGTTGACCAACGTTGTTGCCAACGGGTGTGAAGGTGGGTAGGTATTGTAGCAAAATAGTCCAGAAATGGAACACCTCTATAGGAAATTGGTAGGTCATGTACTGCTGACCGCGCAGCAGTGTCTGCCTGTTCATTGCCCTGTATGTCGACATGACCAGGGACCCAACAAAAAACAATATCTTTATGCTTGGTAGAGATACGGCGTAGCCAAAGTTGGATACGGAGATATAGGGGGTGAGAGCTTCATTGTTGGTGCTAGGGAAGATAGGAATAAGACAGGTGAACATGCACCAACAGGGAATACAGTCACAGAAACCCAAGGCAAATGGAAACCAAGCCTGTGCACATACTATGCACTTGGTATCTGTAGACATGGGAAATCTGGAAAAACAGATGGGACGTGCAACTATGACCACCCTAGAAAATGCCGTGCCCATATGACAACAGGAAAATGCAAACTCCCTTCCTGTAAGCTTTTTCACCCTGAAATGTGTACCTCTTCAGTACAGGAAAGACTGTGCTATAACTTAAATTGCCAGGCACACCATCTAAAGGGGACAAAAAGATACAAAACATCCAGGCCATGGGAAAACCTGGGTAGCCACAGCCACTCAAGAGGGAGAGGTTTTTTAGTGCCAGGAAGGAAAAAAAACTGGCAGGAAATGGCAGAAATTGTACACCAAATCCAGTCATTCCTGGAGTGGAACCACAGTCGATGGCCTCCACTCCAAACCAACAGATACAGATACTAATGCCGGAAAAAAAAATCCCCCCCCCAGTACCAACAATACCACCAGTCCGATGACATTCTTCTTTGCAAATATACAGGGTCTAAAGCCAGCAACAAACAACAAAATACCTTTCATCCATGGACTGCTTGCAGAGGCAAAGGCAATGTTCGCGGCTTTCACTGAGACCCACATAAAGGATCACTTAGACAACGAAATATGGATCCCAGGTTACAACCTATACAGATGTGACAGAGTGAACAGGCAAAAGGGGGGGGGGTGGCCTGTACATTGCAGAGTCACTTGTTTGCACAGAACTGCTCAATGCCTCAAATGATGTAGTGGAAGTTTTAGCAGTAAAGGTCGAGAACCAAAACCTAGTCATTGTGGTAGTCTACAAGCCTCCGGATGCAACATCCCAACAATTCCAGGAACAGCTGTTAAAAATTGACCACTGTCTGGAAAATCTTCCAGCTCCTGCACCCAACATCTTGCTCCTGGGGGGATTTCAACTTAAGGCACCTAAAATGGAGGAATATAGCAAATAATATTGTTGCAGTAATAACTCACACTCACATGAGCTTTTAAATCTCTGCACAAAATTCAATTTAAACCAGCAAATAATAGAGCCTACTAGAATGGAGAATACACTAGACCTCATCTTCACTAACAATGACGATCTGATAAGAAATGTCACCATACCAAAAACAATATACTCAGATCACAACATAATTGAGGTTCAGACATGTATGCGCAGAGCCCCAGACCGACAAAATGAGATTAGTCACGAGGGAGCATTCACCAAATTCAACTTCAATAACAAAAACATAAAGTGGGACCAAGTAAACCAAGTCCTAACCGATATAAGCTGGGAAGATATACTAAGCAACACAGACCCCAACTTATGTCTAGAACAGATTAACTTGGTGGCACTCGATGTATGCACAAGACTTATTCCTCTAAGAAAAAGGAGGAGTAGATGTAAAATAGAAAGAGACAGGCGCTCTCTTTACAGGCGACGGAAAAGAATAACAGAGCGGCTAAAAGAGGTCAATCTATCTGAAATGCGTAGGGAGACACTGGTCAGAGAAATAGCAAACATCGAATTTAAGCTAAAGGAATCTTATAGGAATCAGGAATCGCGGGAAGAACTAAAAGCCATAAATGAAATCGAAAGAAACCCAAAGTATTTCTTCTCCTATGCCAAATCAAAATCGAGAACAACGTCCAGTATTGGGCCCTTACTTAAACAAGATGGGTCCTACACAGATGACAGCAGGGAAATGAGTGAGCTACTCAAGTCCCAATATGACTCAGTTTTTAGCAAGCCACTAACCAGACTGAGAGTCGAAGATCAAAATGAATTTTTTATGAGAGAGCCACAGAATTTGGTTAACACAAGCCTATCTGATGTTATCCTGATGCCAAATGACTTCGAACAGGCGATAAAGACATGCCCATGCACTCTGCCCCAGGGCCAGACTCATGGAACTCCGTGTTCATCAAGAACTGCAAGAAGCCCCTATCACGAGCCTTTACCATCCTATGGAGAGGGAGCATGGACACGGGGGTCGTCCCACAGTTACTAAAAACAACAGACATAGCCCCACTCCACAAAGGGGCAGTAAAGCAACAGCAAAGACTACAGACCGATAGCACTAACATCCCATATCATAAAAATCTTTGAAAGAGTCCTAAGAAGCAAGATCACCACCCATCTAGAAACCCATCAGTTACACAACCCAGGGCAACATGGGTTTAGAACAGGTCGCTCCTGTCTGTCTCAACTATTGGATCACTACGACAAGGTCCTAGATGCACTAGAAGACAAAAAGAATGCAGATGTAATATATACAGACTTTGCAAAAGCCTTCGACAAGTGTGACCATGGCGTAATAGCGCACAAAATGCGTGCTAAAGGAATAACAGGAAAAGTCGGTCGATGGCTCTATAATTTCCTCACTAACAGAACACAGAGAGTAGTAGTCAACAGAGTAAAGTCCGAGGCAGGCACCGTGAAAAGCTCTGTTCCACAAGGCACAGTACTCGCTCCCATCTTGTTCCTCATCCTCATATCTGACAGACAAGGATGTCAGCCACAGCACCGTGTCTTCCTTTGCAGATGACACCCGAATCTGCATGACAGTGTCTTCCATTGCAGACACTGCAAGGCTCCAGGCGGACATCAACCAAATCTTTCAGTGGGCTGCAGAAAACAATATGAAGTTCAACGATGAGAAATTTCAATTACTCAGATATGGTAAACACGAGGAAATTAAATCTTCATCAGAGTACAAAACAAATTCTGGCCACAAAATAGAGCGAAACACCAACGTCAAAGACCTGGGAGTGATCATGTCGGAGGATCTCACCTTCAAGGACCATAACATTGTATCGATCGCATCTGCTAGAAAAATGACAGGATGGATAATGA